GCAATTATATATAGCAATAAAGAGGAATGGATACTACAAGAATAAATTCATGCAACAAGATGGATGAATCTCACAAATATAATATTGATCAAAAAGATAGAAATACGAATGTAACTCTATAATTCAATTTACTTTAATTTCACAACTAGGCAGAAGTCAGAAAAATAGTTACATCTGGGTAGGAGCTTCTGGAACACTTATAATGGTCCTAATCTTGATCTGGGTTTTGCTTTCACAATTATATTCTCTAGGTTAAAATTTGTTGAGTTGTACATTTATGGCTTGCAAATTTTTTACTTTATAATTTAATAAAAAATGTTTAGGAAAATATTCAACATCCATTTATAATATAATATTTTAGTCAATCCAGAATGAAATAATATTGTCTTAAAATATGAAAAAGAATAATTCTCAAATCAATATCCATTACAGCATAAATATTTAAACACTAGAAGTGATTCCATTAAAGTGAGGAAAAACACAAGAGAGCTTACCATCTCTGTCATGAAAAATTGTTCTGGAAATATCAGTCAATACCACAAGGAAAGGAAAGGAATAGGGTATAAATATTAGAAAAGGATCAGTAAATTTTCATTATTTGGAAATAACATGATGGTATACCTCAAAGTTCAAGTGAAATATTTGGAATATTAATTTTCAAAAAAGAATCCTAATTAAGTGTCTGGCTAACAAAAGTAATATTAAAAAACCAATAGTTTGTCTGCAAACAAATGATAATTAAGATTAAACAAAAATGGAAAAACTACACTGACAGATGCAAGACAAAAATAAACACCAATGAATGAGATTAATGAGAAATAGGAAACAAAACTAAAACTCTACTGAGATCAAATGAAAGAAGAAAACTGAATAATAAAACTCAACGTTGCAAAGTATAAACTCATCTATATATTCATGAACTCCACAAATGCCAACATTATTTTGGGGGCAGTAGGGATTTGATAATATAATGTATCATGTATATCCTTAAAAGTTAAGATGTAGAAAGAGCCAGGAAAATTCTGAGGAAGAATGATATTGAAGGATTTATACTCAGTACTATGGTAAGGGCCTGAGGAGGGCTCAGAAGCAAATACTGAGATCAGTGGATTATCCAGTAAACAGTTTTGAGACAGCCAGCTAGGTTGTCTTTTGCTGGGAGGATCAAGGAGAGAGCCAGATACCTAGCTTACTTCTTAGCCAAAATAAATCGCCAATGGATACAAGATTTAAATATACAAAAATAAATAATAAAACTGATAGTAGAAAACATGGATGAATCTTCTTACAATTTTGGCACTAACTATATGCCAGGTAGCATTGTAAGTACTTTATATATAATTAATTTAATCCTCACAACACTAAGAAGTAGATATTATTATCAACCATCTTTTGCAGATGAGGAAACTGAGACATAGACGGGTTAAGTGTGTTGTGCAAGGTAATAGAGCCAGTAAGCACAAGAGAAGTGACTTGAACCTCAGCAGTCTGGTTCCAGAGTGTATGCTCTGAGCTACCACATGACACTGCTTCTCTGATGACCAAATAGATGCAGTAGCATCCTATGTACCCTAAATATACACACAGACGAGGCTCAACCTTCCGAATTTCAAAATACGGTAAGTGAAGTTAAAAAAAATCCTAGCAAAGTGGGAAAACACTTATAGCATATATTACAGACAAAGTACCAAATTTTCTTTAATATACGAAGAACTCATACAAATTACTTACAAATGGACAAGTAAAGGTAAAAAAGAAAGAAAAAGAAAAACATGAACAAGCAGTTTACTGAAAAGAAATACCAATAAGCTTAAGTGCAGCGCCACTCATCTTAAACAAGCACAAGTTAAAACAATGTTGAGACATCATTTTTATCAACCACATTGTCAACTATTGAAGTTTACTACTACTCAATGTTTTGACCAGGTTGAGGGAAAACAGGCATACCCCTATTTTTGGAAGTGTAAATTGGTAGAATTTTAAAATACTAACTTGGTAACATTCATCAAAAAATTTAATGTGCTTATCTTTTGACCCATTAATTCCACTTCTAGCTATCTATTCCATAGATGTATAAGTGTCTGAAGACACATAGGCATAAGAATGTTCATTGAGTCATTGTTTTTTTGTTTGTGTTTTTTTTGTTTTTTTGTTTTTCGTTTTGTCTGTTTTCTTTTTTTTTTTTGAGACAGAGTCTCACTCTGTCACCCAGGCTGGAGTGCAGCGGCGTAATCTCAGCTCACTGCAACCTCCGCCTCCAGGGTTTGAGCGATTCTCCTGTCTCAGCCTCCCGAGTAGCTGGGACTTACAGGCGCCCGCCACCACACCTGGCTAATTTTTTTGTACTTTTAGTAGAGATGGGGTTTCACTATGTTGGCCAGGCTGGCCTTGAACTCCTGGACCTTAAATGATCCACCGCCTCGGCTTCCCAAAGTGCTGGGATTACAGGTGTGAGCCACTGTGCCCGACCTTCATCATTGTTATCAGTGCTACTTAATGTGAATCAACTACATTGCTAAGAGCACTGTACATTCAGCTGACATTTTTTTTTTTCTAACAGAAAGACTTTCTTGATGAAGAAAGAAATCCATTTTGGTGCAAGCTCCTTATTCCAATGTGAAACAGCACTTTGAGTAGCGCTAGTTTATAATAATTAAAAATTCAAAATAACCCAAAAGTTCATCAGTGGGCTATCTGCTAAATAAATTATAATAGATCCAAAAATAATAGATCCTCATGTAGGTGCTTTTCCTCTTTACCCTTCTATACTGTTTACATTTTTCTGCAATTAGCATAAATTACATCTATATTTTTTTAAAACACTTGTAATTTAAAATTTAAATTTTGTTTAAAAGTCAAGAATATCTGTCAGATTAGACTCAGTGTAGGTCAAATTTCTAGAAACTGGCTTTGGGTTACAATTTGTTGTAGAAGACCTAGTGAGACCATCTTACATGGGGTGAATTCCCATGGAGTCATTTGTGCAAAATGTAAAAACACCTCAGCATTTTGTTTTGTTTCCAAACTCAGAAATCTGTTTTTCCTCGCCTTGAGAGGAAAAGTTTATTGTGGCCAATTCACCCTTCTCCCAAACCAAAGTTTTAATCCATCTCTGAGATGGGTCCCAAAGCTCGGAGTAGTGAACTCAGGATTCTATTCCTGCAGTGTGGCAATCTATCTTCTAGTTCTAATCATAATGGTTACAAAGAAGAACAGGACTGGCTGGGCGTGGTGGCTCTCGCCTGTAATCCCAGCACTTTGAGAGGTCGAAGCGGGTGGATCACCTGAGGTCAGGAGTTCGAGACCTGCCTGGCCAACATGGTGAAACCCTGTGTCTACTAAAAATAAAAAATTAGCCAGGTGTGGTGGCACACAACCACACCTGTAGTCCCAGCTACTTGGGAGGCTGAGGCAGGAGAATTGTTTGAACCCAGGGGGCAGAGGTTGCAGTGAGCCGAGATCGCACCACTGTACTCCACAAGCCTAGGTGACAGAGTAAGGCTCTGTCTCAAGAAAAAAAAAAAGAACAGGACCAAGAAATTCTTAGTGCTCACAAGGACCCAATGTTGGTGACCCTAACACATATTTGACAGAGTCGAGGGGTCCTATATGCTTCACGGAAGCCACAGTTTGTAGTGCCAAAAAGTGTGAGACATGAGGCCTTTCAGAGCTGTGTGGAATACGGTCATAATCGCTAACATTTGTACAGCGCCATGTAGTTTGTAAAGTGCTTTCATATCGACTGCCTCATTGACTCCCCACAACAGATCGTTGGAGTAGGTAAATTTCACAGATCTAATTTTATAGGTGCAAACAATGGGTATAGAAAGAAGGCTTATGCTTATTCCCCAAAGGTACTAAGAAGTGAAGTAGCAAAGCCAGAGCATGCCGGCCCAGGTTCTTACCACCACAACACACTGCCTTCCAAGGTATGACTTGCCTATGCCATCCCTGGCAGGACGGCCTGGGGGGCTTGCTCTGCTTCTCTGTGTTTATTTACATGCTGTGACACCACTGAGCTGGATAAGTTTGAAAGCAGGCTATGGCTGTTGCCACTGTTTGTTAAACATTGCTACTTGGAGCAGACAGAGAACACAGGCAGCAGTTTGAGTTTTTCTTAGCCATCTTGAACAGTATCAAGCAGGACAAATAGAGGGAAAGCAATTATTCTTGGTTATCCCAAAGAAGGAAGCGACCGCATATATCGTGTTTTCTGCTGGAATGTCTGTTCTGCCTTAACTTTGCAACGCTTTATGCTTTTTGCCTGGAAATTCAAAGTGACGATGCTAAACTAATCTTCCTTGAAGGCCTTTCTAACTCTGATACCAACTTTCACCATTGCACAGCAGCTTTTCTTTTCAGGCATCTCTCCCTCTCCACAGCTGTTCGTTAAACTACCCATTTCTTATGTTGCATTTATTTTAAATATTTCTACTTTCTTGTGCATAAAGCCTGGAGAGAGGAATTGTAACTACATAATAATATGTTCCAGCTACCAAGCACCTATTATCGGACAGACACTGTGGTAGGCACTTTATGTATTGTATTTTATCTCAATCTTATTGCAAACTCTAGAAGGTATAGCTCCTTACTCCCACTTTGCAGATGAAGAAACTAGGTAAGAATGACTAAGTAGTAAGGGACAAAGCTGAGATTCAAAGGTAGTTCTGTCTAGCTTCAAAGCCAAGGTTTTCTCTCCAGTGCAGAGCACGCCACAAATAATGCTAATTGTATTAGTGAGGGAAAGAAGGTATTATGTGACAATGCTCATTTTAAAGGTACGTATTTTAATAGTCAGCATCACACTCCCTTTTCCTCAGTCTTTAAAAGCTGGATTGGTGGCCTAAGGTGATGAAATTCAAACCTAATACAAATGCAGCACTCCCATATCATATCCCTTAACAGTCTAAGGAGAATTGCTGCATATAATGGGCCCGTCTGTTCTACTGCTTCATCTACCTGCTCAGCTCTCAAAGGAAAACAAAATCCATACGATCATTGAGGTCTAGAAATTAACTTTTATTTTAAATCTGTCAAGAACTCCTGGCAGTTATTAATTTTATTAAAATGATTACATATGGCAAAACAAAGAATAGAGGTAATTCTATTTCTCTACAACATAAATTATGAGTTAGATTTTCAGCTGCCGGCTCAGCATTGTTCAAGATTCTTTTAAAGGGCTGGGGGGATTTTAATATCCAGAAAATGTTAAAGCAGCAAAAGAAAAAATAAATTAAAAAGTCATTGCAATTGGAGATATTGCCAAGGATGTGCTTATTATAAAGTCTTCTTGACGTGTTAATTATAAAATCTTCCAACCTTTGGTATTAAAAAAAATCATGTGAATAGTTGTCCTATATTGCCTTGTCATCTATAATTTATAACAGAGAAGAAATTTGCTGATTTTTTTAAAAAGACGGCAAACATGAATCATGACTCATTCAAATAAAATACAACCAGCATTCATTCCTCTAACTGAAATATGTCAAAACAAAAACACTTTTATTAACATATTTAATACCAGAATAACTTATAATAGTATGAAAAAGAGTGAAGTATTTGTCTTTAGTTTTCATTGACATGCTCACATTTTGGCAAAATTGTTTTGTAAAGATTCCAAAGTTTGTATCAGAGATCTCTAACTATTTAAGGATGCAAACCAAAAGAACTCATACTTCATCTGATCATACAGTCATAACTTATATATTTTGCTTTGCGCTTACTGTTACTGCAAACAGCAATTTAGAAAACAAAGTAAAAATATATATATACACAAAATATTTTTATATCAAATTATCTTCATTACACTAAATAAATCCAGTCCCCAAATGCTATGTTACATGAAAAAGTGTCCTACAATTTATATCAAGACTGATACTGTCCATCAACTAGAGCAGCCTTTGGTTTTAAAAGCATTTTGCAAAATAAGGAAAAATGTCACCACTTGGCTACACTATTGACCCTCATTCACACTGACAAAAATGCTTTCCAGTTTAAAAAAAAAATAGATTACATACCCAGAAAAAAAAATCCCATCATAAAAGAGTCAAACCGTTTTTACTTCTCTGTAGCACATACCCTCTGTTATATTTGGCATTTCCACTGTTTATTCAAGTTTCAGGTCTTCCCAAGCTGATTAGAATATTATTGTTTAGTTGAGAAAGATAGTCTTCTTTCTTGATATTGATTGTTCTCACTCAATGGTAGTCTAATTTAGAAACAAAATGTTTTCTTTCAATGCACGATTTCACTTCACTTTTACATTAATGTCCAACTTGGCAAAATTCAAACTGTTCAATGTTTTGTTTTCCATATGTTTTAAATTTAAAAATCAATTTTATGTATGTGTATGTATAGCCGCACAGAGATACATTTCTTTCATTCTCTTGTTCTCGCTGCAATACAAATTGTCCATCAGCAATTGTAATTTGAAACGAATCAAATAAAAGATTTTTAGTTATACCATATGAACACAGTTTCCATCACAAAAAGACAGTGAGCTCTAATGCAAACAGGATTATGTTTTAAAACTACAGGTTTAGTTTTACACAGGAAAATTTTGAGTTATTTATATAATAAAGTTGTTTTTTTTTTTTTTTTAAACTTCAGCAGAACTTGAGAAAAAAATCCAGATTAATTCTAAAGGGCTTTGTGGTACTTTCCAACAGTGCTTGAAAAAAAGTTTTCCTGATCACCATGTATTCATTGAAATTTTAAATTAACTTGAAGGAATCACTTCTTAAATGTACAACGTTATGTGGATCGCTGCACCTTGAATTTTGGAAGTTTGTAACATATCAGATATGCAGGCAAGATACATGCATAAAAGTCTCACTGTCACTCTGAAAAGCACATTGAACAATTTTCAATACTGTAGACTTTTTTTAAAAGGAAGATTTCATTTGGGCTGAACAGATATCCAAGTTTTAACTTGTGAATTATTGAATGCATTTCAAGGGCTTTCAGCGATTCTGGTTTCAGTCCTGGAATGATTAGGTCCATCTGGAATGATGCACACAGGCTAATAAGCATATGGCGTTGGCATTTTGAGGCATAGCTGTTCAACTATGCCCACGTTGGAGCTTATTTTTGGGAAGCAAGGCACTTACTGTAATGGTAATGCAGACATTTTATGCATAGTTTGAGTAACATAAAATAAGTTAATATTTTTGATTAAAATGAGTTTTTTATAATTTATATGTCTTTTACAGAAGCAACTAAATGATATATTTGGGATAATTAAAAATAAGAAGAGGTTTGGGAGAGAGTCATTTTCATCCCTGCTTCGGCTCTTAGGATGAGGGTTGACGAAAACACTGGAAAGAACATCCATTGGATCTGAAAAGCAACAAGCTCTTAAAACTGCTGCACCAGCGGCACTTTGACAGTCTTTACTTCTGCTATATGGGACGACTTCTGGATGATGCAGCTGGTAGTTCCCTGCAGTTTGTCCTTTCCCTGTGCAAGATTTGTTAAGGCCATAGCTGCGTTGATCTCCTTCCAATACGTGTCATCTTTGCTCGGTCCCTTTCTGTTAGCTGCACTGGAGTTAAGCAAAACAGAAAGTAAACGATCAAACTCACTGCAGTTTGCATTGAAAATGTCATCGCTGAAAAGCAGGCACGGCCAATGGGAACATTTTGCTCACCTGTCACCCTTATTGGATCCGTTTTCCAGAGTGTCTGTAAAGAAAAGCAAAAATTCAGTTATTTTTATTTTTTTCCTTTCTTTTCTCATCTCAGGAGTTTCATCACTAATGACCAGAAGTAAAAGTTCTTCAGGAAATATAGTTGAAAATTAGTTAGCTTTTAATAAAGATAAAGCAGTTTGTATTAAGATGAAAAAAATTGCAAAGGGGCAGAAATAAGATGACAGTGGGTAGTAAAGAATAAAAGGGAGCTCTCATAGCTATACAATAATCTGAAGTTATTTACTCTGAGAAATTGGGGCCTTTTGGATCAGGAGACAAGCAGCATAAGGAAAAAAGTGCTGACTGTGCCTGGGGCCAGGTTCTGGCCTTCCCCTACTATCCACCTGCAGTGTAACTTGGGGGCAGATTATGACCTCCCACAATGTCTGGGATTCAGTTCTCTAACTATCAAATCAGGGAGTTTTGGCTGGGCACAGTGGCTCATATCTGTAATCCCAGTACTTTGGGAGGCCAAGGCAGGGGGATTGCTTGAGCCTAGGAATTCGAGACCAGCCTGTGCTACATCGTGAGATCTCATCTCTACTAAAAATAAAAATAAAAATAGCTGGGTATGGTGGGTGTTCACCTGTATTCCCAGTTACTCAGGGGGCTGAGGTGGGAGGATGGCTTGAGCCCAGGGGTTGAAGCTGCAGTAAGCAGGGATTGTGCCACTGCACTCCAGCCTGGGCAATAAAGCAAGACCCTGTCTCTAAGAAAATTAAAATAAAAAACTGGGGGTTCTAGACAAACTTGGGGGTGCTTCTGGCTCAATGATTCTATAATTTCATGGTTATCAAATTTTCTTTTTTCTCTTTTTTTTTTGAGAAGGCGGCTTGCTGTGTTGCCCAGGCTGGAGTGTAATGGTGTGATCTCGGCTCACTGCAACTTTCACCTCCCGGGTTCCAGCAATTCTCCTGCCTCAGGCTCCTGAGTAGCTGGGATTACAGGCACCTGCCACCATGCCTGGCTAATTTTTGTATTTTTAGTAGAAACAGGGTTTCACCATGTTAGTCAGGCTGATCTTGAACTCCTGACCTCCTGATCTGCCTGCCTCGACCTCCCACAGTGCTGGGATTACAGGTGTGAGCCACCGTGCCTGGCCAGTTATCACACATTTATTTCAGACAAAGGATGGGCAAATAGTTCCCTCTGCTAGTTAGCAAATGAGTAACAGACCCAATGGCGATAGCAATACAGGATTTCCTGGCATATTTATTAGAAGAAGCAGGCACCAGCCCTCAATTTCCAAAAGAACGCCTCCTCCTGCTGCTGCAGGAAAGGAAAGTTAGGATGCTAGCTTTTGCTTCTACACTCACATCTTTGGTTTAGATTTGCTGCTTCACTCCGAACACGAATGTCTCTCAACACCACATAAATATAAAGAACCCACAAAAATGGGTTCTCGAGCTCCTTAGGCTAAAAGAATCTGGTATGAGTAACACAAAAATTTCCCTACTGAAGGGAAAGATGTAGGGGGGTGGTAGATAGGCTACTGGCATGGCGTCCTAGCAAAGGAGTAGGGTTGAGACTCCAAAACCAGACAGTGGGTGAGCCCCTCTTCATCACCATCATCATCCACAACAATAATCAATATTACCAGGGAGCTACTGCACGTGGCACTGTGCTCCACACAGGAAACTTGGAAGATGCAAGGCCCTCTGCTAGTTCTATGGCCTTTACAAAACTGTCTTTTCCTGCCCTTAGTCCTCTCCCTTCCTTTTACCCCACCTCCCATCCCCGCCAACCCAATATTTCTCACAATTTCTTTTTCTCTACACCGCTTAAGGATAGTTAGGAAATGCATCCTAATTTCCAATTCTGAGCTCTAAGAGAGTCACAGAACTAGAAGAGGTTTGAGAAGAATAACGTCAACACGATCGTCATATAGTCTAAGCAGGGCAAAATTTCCTAGGGAAGAGGTGGTCAAGAGAAAACAAATGACATGACCATGAGGCAGCCAAGCTTCAATACCCTGTCTGAAGGAAAAGAATGGGGAAAGCCTGCTGACATATCCTGAGTTCAGCCTTAAGGTGTAGACCACGAGACAATCATGGGTCACTCTGAGCTCTTTTCACAACCCTTCACCTAAGGAACTTAAATAAACAAGGCGAACAAACAAAACAAAAGCATTTAGTGAACAAATGGCAAGGTGGTTGTGAAGAACACATGAGATCATGTGTGTCTGGCCCAGAATGGAATGACGAGTGTTAGTTCCCTTGGTCTCCTTTCACTGACTACTCAGGCGGCATTTTATAAGGTTTGAGGGATCCTTTGGGGGAAATAATTGGATCTGTGAACAGTTAGATCGTTACCTTCTGCAGCTCTGCCAGCTTCTGGCTCTTACAGGGTCAGCCTGGATGCTTAGCTATACCTCTGCTACTTTCCATAGTTTTGCAATTATAAAGTAACTCATGTAAATGCAGGAAAAGAATGATCATTTGTAATTTACAGAACTCTGATACTACTGATTTACAGATCATTTACTACGTGCCAGGCACAATTCTGAGCACTTCGTGGCCTAATTTATTTATGATTACTGACTTTGTGTATGGATAACAAGCCTCCACGGTATCTGTGAAGTCATTTTTTATCGAGTTCTATTCTCCTATCTGTAAATCTTCACTCAGTGAGGACAGAGACAAGGTGCTACCAGAACAGAGAACAAGTCAAGGCTTTCGTCTGGGAGAAGGAAAGCCAGCAAATTGCACATTTCACAGAGGAAAAAAAAAAAATGAGTTAGGCCTTTGCTCCATTTTGCCCACAAATTGCAACAATTCTGTTGCCAAAGTGAAGCAATAGGTTATGGAGATATTTATTCAATGGAAAGACTTGGCAAAAGCAGAGTAAGTTCCATGAGGCTTAAATAACGTTAGGGAAATAACAAAACATAATTTAGAGAAGACTATGTAACTGACGCTCTGGCTCCCAGATGAAGCCATCTCACATAGGCGAAGGAGACCAGAACCCGGTTCCCTATCTGAACTGTCAACCTCAGAGTGGTTACTGCACACACAAGAAGAAAGCCTGTGCCTATCAAATACGTTATGGGTTACAGAACCTGTCAATGCATCAATGCCATCAATGTATGGAGCCTGCACGTGGAAGGAGAAGATGTAATTCATGGCTCAGGTCCACGGACAGCCTCTATTTAGGATGAGGAGTTGACTTGCATGTCTTGCAGCATCGTGAGCGCCTGGCTGTGGCTAGCACTCCCTGTGGCTGACTCCTTGGACTTGTTCCACTGAGAAACATGTTTACTACAGCCAACTGTGAAATTATAAAATTCTGCTTACTCTTTGGGTGTATGTGTTTGACACTTTGGTGCCTATGAAAATACCTTTGAAGTGCAAAAACGTAGACTCAAATCCCCATGCAGGTATTCTTAATTAGGTTTTACAAATCTCAACAATGTACTATACAGGATTCAATACACTGAATTCTGTATTTTATTTTTCAGGCAGATGGGCACATTCAATGTCACTAGGTATAGATTGGGTTCCTTTCCAGTAATAGAAGAAAATTGTTTTACATCACACACTGGGGCCTTTTGGGAGGTGGGGAGCTGGGGGAGGGAAAGCATTAAGAGAAATGCCTAATGTCAATGACAAGTTGATGAGTGTAGCAAACCAACATGGCACATGTATACCTATGTAACAAACCTGCACGTTGTGCACATGTACCCTAGAACATAAAGAATAATACAATAAAAAAGAATTTCTATTTAAAAAAAAGTAATGGAGAATAGACACATGTTACTTCTCTATCAGTAGTCAGTGTGAAAACTGCATACAACAAAACTCAATCTCAAAGACTGAAATCCACCAGGAAAAGCTGCTTACCACCACTTGGGAAGTGCCGGGGGTGGGCAGTCTCTGTGCCCAAAGTGCTTTTAGTTCAAAAAATGAATTGATGTTAGAAGGGCACGCTTTTCCTGAGGCTGTTACTGGTGGGCTGCCCAGTGTCACTTGGGTATTTTGTAGTCCAAGAGCCACCTCCTGTGGAGTAATGTGTGCTGGTTCCCAGAAAAGCCAAACCGGCAAAAGGAAGATAGCAAACAGAGCCCTTTGACTCTGAAACATTTGTGCTTTTTTTTTTAGGAAAGCAAGGACTCGAAAGATCTGGGAGACTGGGGAGATTTTTTTTTTTTTCCTACTTGTTGTGCTAAGATGAAATCTGGAGAAATGTCGCAGTTTTTAGCGAACTGATATCATTTGAGGGGAATTCAGAACATTTACAATCTTCTCATTATACTAACTGGCTGTATTAATGTTGTAATTTTTTTTTTCTTATGCTCTTTCCCTTTGAAGTAAAAACTTATCAGCTCTTCTCTGGCTCAAGTGTGCTGTGTCTTGTGTCTTTTCAGCTCATGGTCAGTATTTGAGGTGCAGTGGGTCTGTGTACCCCACCCCTGGTGGTCATGGGGGTCCTGACACATCTGTCCACTGCTGACAGGTGGTCTCACCGGCTCCACTTGAGAAGTGGCACCTAGTAGCTCCAGAAACAATCAGACAGGAGAGGGAAGGATCGTGCATGTTGCTGAAAGAGGGAAAACGCAAGTTGGAGCTAGCTCCTGGTATGTAGACTCTTGAGAGCAGTTCATTAGCATGCACAGACTCAGGGTCTGACTGCCCCACATTTGGCTCGGCTGTGTCTCTTACTCTGCAAGTAGCTTGGCTCAGCCTCTCCAAAGTCTGAGCTAAAATGCCTCTTTAGATTCCAAGGTTCCAAAAATCAGCTACGCTGTCGATTACCATAAAAGCAACTGGTTGGCAGGAACGGCTTATTGAACCAGCCAAAAGAGCGTGTTTTAAGACGAAAAAAGAAAAGAAAAGAAAAAAAAAGAGGTGTGTAGTTAGGAAAATCTTGGATGCTGCAAAACCCAAACCATGTTGAAACTTAAAGTGGGGCTATCCTCAGTTTGGACATGTGTTTCCTTCTACAGTTAAGTAGAGAAAAAAATTATACAGAAAACCCAGTTCCAATGCAACTCGA